GTGATACAAGTTAACTACCCCCTCAGAACTCCAGTCCAGTGATACAAGTTAACTACCCCCTCAGAACCCCAGTTCAGTGATACAAGTTAATTACCCCCTCAGAACCCCAGTCCAGTGATACAAGTTAACTACCCCCTCAGAACCCCAGTCCAGTGATACAAGTTAACTACCCCCTCAGAACCCCAGTCCAGTGATACAAGTTAACTACCCCCTCAGAACCCCAGTCCAGTGATACAAGTTAACTACCCCCTCAGAACCCCAGTCCAGTGATACAAGTTAACTACCCCGTCAGAACCCCAGTCCAGTGATACAAGTTAACTACCCCCTCAGAACCCCAGTCCAGTGATACAAGTTAACTACCCCCTCAGAACTCCAGTCCAGTGATACAAGTTAACTACCCCCTCAGAACCCCAGTTCAGTGATACAAGTTAACTACCCCCTCAGAACCCCAGTCCAGTGATACAAGTTAACTACCCCCTCAGAACCCCAGTCCAGTGATACAAGTTAACTACCCCCTCAGAACCCCAGTCCAGTGATACAAGTTAACTACCCCCTCAGAACCCCAGTCCAGTGATACAAGTTAACTACCCCCTCAGAACCCCAGTCCAGTGATACAAGTTAACTACCCCCTCAGAACCCCAGTCCAGTGATACAAGTTAACTACCCCGTCAGAACCCCAGTCCAGTGATACAAGTTAACTACCCCCTCAGAACCCCAGTCCAGTGATACAAGTTAACTACCCCCTCAGAACTCCAGTCCAGTGATACAAGTTAACTAACCCTCAGAACCCCAGTCCAGTGATACAAGTTAACTACCCCCTCAGAACCCCAGTTCAGTGATACAAGTTAACTACCCCCTCAGAACCCCAGTCCAGTGATACAAGTTAACTACCCCCTCAGAACCCCAGTCCAGTGATACAAGTTAACTACCCCCTCAGAACCCCAGTCCAGTGATACAAGTTAACTACCCCCTCAGAACCCCAGTCCAGTGATACAAGTTAACTACCCCCTCAGAACCCCAGTCCAGTGATACAAGTTAACTACCCCCTCAGAACCCCAGTCCAGTGATACAAGTTAACTACCCCCTCAGAACCCCAGTCCAGTGATACAAGTTAACTACCCCCTCAGAACCCCAGTCCAGTGATACAAGTTAACTACCCCCTCAGAACCCCAGTCCAGTGATACAAGTTAACTACCCCCTCAGAACCCCAGTCCAGTGATACAAGTTAACTACCCCCTCAGAACCCCAGTCCAGTGATACAAGTTAACTACCCCCTCAGAACCCCAGTTCAGTGATACAAGTTAACTACCCCCTCAGAACCCCATTCCAGTGATACAAATTAACTACCCCCTCAGAACCCCAGTCAAGTGATACAAGTTAACAGCCCCCCCCCCAACCACCACAGAACCCCAGTCCAGTGATACAAGTTAACTACCCCCTCATAAATTTATTTATTGTTAACGTAAATTCTTCTATCTAACAGAATTTGAAAGATTTAATTAATGAGTTTACTGAATAGTTTTAATAGAGTCATTACAACCTTCACTGTTGTTCGCAGTCCTTAAAACTTTTTTTATATTAATAAACAAATCAATAAACCTTTTTACCGGGATTAGAACATCGGTTGTGTTATATCTTTAGGATGTGTGGTTACTTTTTATGATGTTTTTCTTATTTTGGTTAGTTTGATGTTTTATTTTGTGTTTTGTTTTGTATGCTGTTGTTTTCGTATTTGTTTTTGTACAGAATTTCTTCCAGGTATCTCTTCTCCGCCCCCCCCCCCCCCGAAGAAAGTCTACCGCCCCCCGAACGAGATGGATTTTATATAGTAAACATGCACTTTTATTAGTGTCCGCCCCCACACCCCTCCCCCCCCCCCCCCCCCCCCCGGAAAAATGTTCTAGACATTTTCCACACTTTGCACGCACGAACGCTGACCGCGCCTTATGCAATGAGTAATTTTTTTGGTATAAAACGAGAAATAAAGTAAACAGAGATTGAAGTCGTGAACCCGAGGAGACTACTACCTACAAATTTCATGACTGTTCAGAATATATATCCCATATTAAAAATCCCATTTAATACAAAAATAAATGTTTAATACTTTGCAGTTTTTGTTTGGTATAACAAAAACCATTTTAATAAACAAGCGTTTAACATATAGGGCCTAAATTATGGTAGGTAGTTTAAAATATACTTATTTTTCAACACTTTCTAGGCTCTACTTTTAATATTTAGGCCTCGTAAAGATGTTACCGAAAAAAGTACACATTACTGTTTAATGATTTCTCTACAAATTGTAGCCATACATAGTTTTATATGATAAATCTCAACATCAATCGCTGTATTAAAAAACTATTAAGGTTGATGAAGCAGACCCCACTCCCTCACCCTACCCTTAACTGGGTAATCGGTAAGTTGTTTTTAACGGTCAATACTACAACAGCCATTCAGTGGTAGAACTAGAAAAAAGGGCCACCCCGCAAAAAAAAATTCTGGGCCCCCTATATATATATATATATATATATATATATATATATATATATATATATATATATATATATATATATATATGGTGACAGGACAAATGATCTCAGGACAAATGATCTCAGACAAAATATCTCAGACAAAATATCTCACGGACAAATGATCTCAGGACAAATGATCTCAGGACAAAAGATCTCAAGGACAAATGATCTCACGGACAAAAGATACCAGGACAAAATATATCAGGACAAATGATATCATGGACAATTGATCTCAGACAAAATATCTCAGACAAAATATCTCACAGCAAAATGTTAATAGTGTATTGGAGGATTTTAGTTGATCTGAACATTTTTTTTATTGACTGTCATGTGGTTTTGTTTACTATGTTTAATATTGTTTATAGGCCAATATATTAAGTGTAAGAAATATTTGCCGTATAAATTTGTCATATTACACTTAACTTATTAAGATTACTAATATAGTACGCGAAGACTAAAGATTTTTTTTTCGATAGGTGGGCTTGCCTAACTTTAGACAATCCTACCATGTCAGGTGGACAAAACTAGATCAAAGAGAATGAAATAACAATAAAGACACACCTTCATATCAAGGTGGTCGCTCGCTTTGATAGCAGAGACATGCCTTAAAGGAAAGACATCCGCCCTCGATGGACAATACAACTAACATCTAAAGTCTAAAGTCAATAGGTATGCGTCGGTCACACCTTAGTGACCAGGTGACAAATGTTTATTTAAACGACAGCGGTCATCGCGGAGCTAAGTTTGTCGTAGTGTGCATGCAAACAAAACAGTGTTAGTGGTGATTTCGTTACCTCGCAGACAGAGTTTCTTCCAGGCATCTCTTCGGGGGGAGGGGGGGGGGCTTTAGCCCCCCCCCCCCCGACAAATTTTTACCGCCCCCCCCCCCGAACGAAATGAAATGTATATAATTTATGTAGAAAATATATACTTTTAACAGTGTCCGCCCCCCCCCCCCGAAGAAAGTTTACCGCCCCCCCCGAAAATTTCAAGTGCCCCCCCCCCCCCCGGAGAAAAAAGTCTGGAAGAAACACTGCTCGCAGAAAGGTTTTAGGACATTAGTTTCTTGTGATTTTATGTATATAAAAACTAAAAGTAGAGCAGCAGGCAAAGAGATTTGGAAATGTGAAGTTAAAACATGTCGAGCAAGAGTTCACACAATAGATGATCACATAGTATTGGAGAGGTGTGATCATAACGATGTACCTGCCGGCATAGAAACGTAGTCGTTATGTGTGTGTTGATGACTCAAGAAATAATAGTTTTACGTTACGAACATGAAGACCCATTCACATTTTTGAAAAAATATTTGGCGTGTTTTGAACATTAATGTTATATAAAAAAACTATTGTTTTATGAAAGAAAAGCGAACAAAACCATATTGACAGTCAATAAAAAAAATTTCAATTCAACTAAAATCGTACATACTATAAAAATTTTGCTGTGAGATATTTTGTCTGAGATATTTTGTCTGAGATCATTTGTCCATGATATCATTTGTCCTGATATATTTTGTCCTGGTATCTTTTGTCCGTGAGATCATTTGTCCTTGAGATCATTTGTCCTGAGATCATTTGTCCTGAGATCATTTGTCTTGAGATCATTTGTCCGTGAGATATTTTGTCTGAGATATTTTGTCTGAGATCATTTGTCCTGAGATCATTTGTCATGGAACCATATATATATATATATATATATATATATATATATATATATATATATATATATATATATATATATATATATATATATATATATATATATATATATATATATATATATATATATATATATATAAACACAGAGTACAAGCATTGGAAAAAAAAATGTTTTTTTTTTCAATTTAAATAAATTACAACATGTCATGTGTGTGAGTGCATTAGTCTGTTTTGAATTTATTTATTTTTTTAGATTTAGAACTAGTTTATTCAATATGTTTGATGGAATACTGCCTACCCTCTAGTCCAGTGGTTCCCAAACTTTTTCTATTGGTGAACACCAAACTTTGCCTTTTTTCCCATGCTAAAATCCAACATTGCCTGGTTCTCTTGCTAAAACTCAACCTTGCCCAGTTTCCTTGGTAACACCCAAATTTGCCTTTTTCCCATGCTAAAACCCAATCTTGCCTAAAACCCAACCTTGCCTGGTTCCCTTGCTAAAACCCAACCTTGCCTGGTTCCCTTGCTAAAACCCATCTTGCCTGGTTCCCTTGCTAAAACCCAACCTTGCCTGGTTCCCTTGCTAAAACCCAACCTTGCCTGGTTCCCTTGCTAAAACCCAACCTTGCTAAAACCCAACCTTGTCTGGTTCGCTTGCTAAAACCCTACCTTGGTAAAACCCAACCTTGCCTGGTTCCCTTGCTAAAACCCACCTTGCCTGGTTCCCTTGCTAAAACCCAGCCTTGTCTGGTTCCCTTGCTAAAACCCACCTTGCCTGATTCCTAAAACCACCATCAAGTAAAGCTCGACTCACCCTGAGGTAACGTGGCAGCCATCAAACAACAGGTCAGAAGGACGGACAGAGTCACGGCTGTCAAATACATGCTGGACAGAAGGTAACGTGACGTGGACGACGTGAATCACTGGACTGACTTGGGCCCCTCGCTTGATTTTAGTTTTTTTTTAAATAAAATATTGTCGTCCTCAAGTCGATCATGTATCTGATGTTTCTATTGAACTTTTCTTTAATTGAACTAATTTTCAGTTGTTTCTGAAAAAAAAGACAATTTTTATAAAGCATTTCTCGATATTCTCTACATACATTGTAAAATATTACAATTAAAACAAGCAAATTGAAAATGCTTTTAATTAATTTATATCGCAAATGACAAGACAGTTAGTTGATTGAAATGAGCGAAACTATGACGCACGCATGCTGTTATCTACTCACCCCAGCTGTCCGTGCCAAAGTTTGAACTGGACCTTCTAACAAGTTTATCTGCTCACAAACTTTACACCCAATCAGGCAATAGACACAACAGAACATATCTTTATAAAGCCCTC